TCTTATATTTAGACACAATTACACTAATGTTTATCACGTTATATCTGTAATTTCGAACTGAAACATAATTATTTAATATTAAATAGAGAAATAAATGTTTGCCCAATATGGCTGGTGGTTGTGTATAATCATTTCATCGTCCATGTTGTCTTCAGTTTATTAGAATATTTTGGTGTTGCCTGCACCTGTTATACAACAATTTGAGAAATGTCTGAAATGAAATACCGGCAGAGTCCAATGATTTACCCAGAATTTGTACCAGATCTATATCTTCTGTTTGAACAGTTGATAAAACCTTTTGAACCAATATGCATGCGATGTTTGTCTTAAATCATTGGTTATGGCATTTTAACAAAAATATGACAGCAGAGAGTTAGGTTATGGTGAAGTAGTATACCAACATATTTAGCATATGTACAGCCTTTAACAGTTACTAAACAACAGTTGTATAAGTGCTTCCGTTGGGAGCAACTTGTTGGCTAAAGTAGTAATATGCCCAGCAAAACAACAAGGCTCGGGTTTGTTTTATAAACGTTACCATGGATGCCACAACACAACCATTTTGACTAACGTGCAAATATGCCGTATAAAATAGTTGTATAAACGTTTATCCAACAGTTAAAAATTTGTCCTATAAGGTGTTGTATAACTATGCTAAATAATATTTTAAACACCTCATTTTAGAGCAAATATGTTGCAGAAAGCAAATTTGCATTCCACACAACATTAAGCCAGCATTTTGGTGTTCAGGCAACAACAATAGAGAGCTTTTATGACTGAATGGTTTTTTTACCAAAAGCTTATAGCACTACTTTGATAGTTGGGTTAATCCACTCCGACGACGTCTATTGCTTCCATTTAGAAAGTTTGTCAGATAAACTTGCACCGTTATTCATACCGGACTATAGCCGTTAATCCGCTCCAACAACGTCTATTGCTTCCATTCAGAATGTTTGTCAGATAAACTTGCACAGTTATTTTCACAAGACTGTATCTGTTAATCCACCCGGACGATGTCTAGATTCACTGGACTATAACCGTTAACACATTGGACGGCGCCAGTGGCTTCCGTTCCAGGATGTCGAACAGATTTCGTAGCTAATTTCACCGGACTATCCTCCGACGACGTCGGCAGCTTGTCTACGAGGTATTTACAGGGGCGTACTGACCCTGAGGCCAAACGGACCATGGCCATAAGCGGCGGGCTGCGACTGGCGTCTCAATCAACAGTTTCCTATTCTAGAGTTACTGTCGGAGGAAAGTTTGTTTGTGGGAGAAACCACGCCGTCAGCATCAAATGCAAACTGCCAGTCACACAGCTACCCTCATTCCAGAGTTTTTTATAGAATTCAACGAATAGCTGCCATCGTCCAAATATCACACTGACGGCCAAGATCCTGCGAGTCCAGTGGCGGCGGATATATCGGCACGCACCCTCCCCTCCAGTACAACATACTGATTAAGTTCTAGGAAAATTCGCCAATTTTATACAAACTATACTGTGATATATAAAATGCAACTCCCAGAATTATTTATTGAATTTTGATAAAAACTTGTACCTACACATGTTTGCTATCATGGAATAGCTGATAAAATGTTGACAGTCCGAGCCGTACTTTTTTTGTAGAAGTTTTTTTATCATATCAACATTTGCCTGTGTTGGTTCCATTTGTTTCATTGTTGTTCCATTGCATTATCATGCGTAGAGGACGCAGACTGTTCATCACTACCTGCAATCCAATCGTCCCGCCATGCTTTTCTTGGCGGAGACAAAAATCCAGAGTCTACACCGATTAACCATCTATACCTCCCAAGCTACGAAGTGCACTCCAATCTGAGAAAGAACGGGAGAGTTGTAGCTTTTGTCCGCAGCAGTCTTTCCTGCTCCAGAGATGTTTCTTTGGAATCCAACCGTAAGGACAATCTGTGGCTTCGCCTCAACTCCAAAACATCGCAGAAATTGATTTGCTGCCTTTATCGCTCTCCCTCGGACCATAACTGGCATTACCTACTGGAATACCTCGCCGTCAAGATAGACTTCCTGAACATCAATCATCGCGATTCAGAGGTAGGTCTTCTCGGTGATTTCAATGCCCTTAACGAGCTTTAGTTGGGCTCAAACAAAACCGATGCAGCAGGTCGTGCTGTCGAAGCGTTCGCCTTACTCAAGGGCTGACCCAGCAGGTGACGAGCCCTACCTTTTTCTCCCGCATTTCGTCACACGCCAGTAGCCTGCTGGATCTCTTTCTGACCACGAATCCTGTCCCTTACAGCACTGCTGTCCTGTCCTTCCTGGGTAACTCAGACCACGGTGTTGTGGAGGTTAGGTTTCGGTCAGAACCCGCTGTGGCAGCAGAAACTCGTACAGGCCGCAAAACTTGGCATTACGGACATGCCGACTGGGAGAGACTCAGAGACTTCTTCTCTAGCTTTCCTTGGAGATATGTCTGTTTCACTGACGCGGCTGACTGTTCTTCGAAAACCGAAATTATCTACGTCGGAATGGAGGAATACATCCCTCACACAGTGAAAGTGCCTAAACCAGGGTTCAACGGCTGGTTTAACAAATCGTGTGACACTGCTCGCCAGCAGAAGATCAAGGCACACAGAACCTTCTTACAAATATAACGAAGCAGTTCGCAATGCCAAAGCACCAGCACAATATAAAAGTTAGGCACAGGGTAATGTCGCAGCGTAATGGCAGTCGGTCTTTCTGGACGCTGGCCAAGCAGATTGAAAAGAACTTCTCACATAGTAGCCTCCCACCACTTACGTGACAGGATGGAACGATTGTATTCCACTCAAAGGCCAAGGTGGAAGTGCTAGCTAAGATCTTTGCTGTCAACTCCACGAGGGACGTGCCCCCCAATGCCCAAGTGCCATCAATTCAAAGGATTCCCTACACTATGCGGGAGGTAGCATTCAGGCATAAGATCGTAAGACGAGTGCTCTTGTCGTTCGACATCAAGAAAGCTTCTGGTCCGGACTTGATTCTTGGCATCGTACTGAAGAGGTGTGCAGCGCAGCTTGCTCCAGTTCTTTCGCGTCTCTGGAAATTTGCTCATGTCCAACCCATAACAAAAAAGGATCTAAGAGCGAACCTTACAACTACAGGCCTATAGCTTTGCTTTCTGTTACAAGTAAGGTGATGAAAAGGTGCATAAATCGCGAGCCTCTGGACTACCTCGAACGTCACAGCTTGATTAGCGACAGGCAGTATGGTCTCCGGCACCAACGATCCACAGGGGACCTCCTAGCTTACGTCACGCAATTGTGGAGTAAACCCATCCAGTATTATGGTGAGGCCCATGTCGTTGCTCTTGACATCACAAAAGCGTTCAGTCCCCTCTTAAGCAAACTTCCATCCTATGGCCTCTCAGAAAAACTTTGCTGATGGGTAGCTGACTTTATCTCTGGCCGCAAGATATACGTCATAATTGACGGGTTCTCCTCTTCTTTCCACAACGTCAACGCGGGTGTTTCCCAGAGATGGGTCTCGGTTTCTCGTACATATCAACGACCTCCTTTCCTGCACGATCAACCCAATCCACAGCTTCGCTGATGACAGCACTCTACATGCAGGAGTTCAGAGTGACAAGGCGACCTCTGCCGCTGAGCTGGAAAAAAGAAGGCTAGCGACGACATCCTCTCTGACAAGAGACCTCGAGGCTATCACTGCTTGGAGACGCAACAATCTTGTACAGTTCAATGCTTCCAAAACACAGTAGTGTACTTTTCGAACAAAACGCGTCCTAGCGCTCATCCGGTTTCGATGGATGGCCGAGTTCTGCCAAAGAGCCATTCATTTCGGCTTGTCGGAGTCCAGAACACCGAAGACCTCATCTGGCACGCACACATCAGGCCAATAGCTGCAGCTGCTGGAAAAAAGCTAGGCTATTTGTTTAGGGATAAGAAGTACTATTCTCCGCATGACCTTATCACTCTATACAAGGCCCAGATAAGGCCTAGCCTCGAGCATCGCTCACACGTTTGGGATGCTGCCGTTCCGACTACATTATCCATGCTCGATGCTGTCCTGAGGAGGTCGGTCTCTGTCACTCTCTATTTATCAGTAGATGTAGGGTCAACTGGGGTAATTGTAAACGCTTTTGACAGGTATGTTTACATTTACCCAAATGTCTTATTTTCTCAGAACCAAAAAGTAAGGGATAAAATTGGATAGGAAAGCATAATTCTGTTATATTTTCATTGTTTTGTTCCAAAGAAATAAGATTTCTTGAAAATTTGTTATTTGTTTATTTTGAAGATCAAAAAGAAACGTTTTGTTTACTTTTGCCCGGTGTTTTAGGGGTAAATGTAAACACTTTGTTTTTAAACTATATCTTTATGTATACTTTTACTAGGGAAAATGTAAACACAATGAGTACTGGATGTCTGATAATAATCTCAAGTGGTTTTAAGGAATGTTTACATTTACCCCAAGTTATAAATAAAAACTGATTTCTCAATTGCTCCGGAGGAACTTTATTTCACAAACATTATAAATATAAACTGGCGTATTACCAATGCGTAATAAATTGGATTAGAGGTAACGATTCTAAAAGAGGCACAACCAAAACTAGGAACTTAATTTTCCTTAAACTTATGTTAACAATCAAATTGCTAAATAGAAAAAAATATCAATAAACGGGTAATATTGCCCTAACTACAAATTTACGAAAAGTAAAACCAAATTATGTTTAAACTTAAAAGGAAATAATGATCTTGATTCACTGTTCAATAACAGGCACTCTCTTAATAAAATGGTAAAAATTCGTTCTCCTTTAATTTGTATTGTTGGGAAAGGAAGAAGTCCTATTACTTGTTCAAAGCTAATGTAACTTTTATCTTGCTGAGGTGTCAATTGATTTTAGACCCATCACTTCCAAGTCGGTGCCTTCAACATTTTCTATTACACAGACATACTTAAATGTCGTGGAGACTCGTTTACCTCCTTTAAAGCTTACTAAAATGAAATTGCCATTAGTCAGCTCTGAAAATTAGCATGCCTTAATGTCAATTTCATCTTCATCATTTTCATCCAAGGAACTATCACTGTCATTTTCAGTCAAAGTCCACTTTTGTTTTTTTAATTTTTTCACCTTTATCGTTTTTGTTTCTGTATTTTGTAATTTTGGACGTTTCTTTTTCAACTGCTTCTTTTCTTCGGCCTCCTTAAGTCTTTTCAAGACATCTTCTGTTGTAAGTACTTCACTATAAGTCTTTTGTTTTAATCGAACGTTTGTTGTTTTTTGTTGTACGACATCTTCCAATTCAGTTCTTTTAAAAAAGAGATTCTCAATTTCTGATCCATTTGTAGCTGCGATTTGTAAATCAGAAGGTTTCTTTGAAACATTGGTATTTTGAGTTGCGTTTTGGGAATCAATCATCTGGTGTGTGTTGACTTGGGAAGTGGTCGGTTCATCAGACATATCAATTTGTTGTAGGCTGGTTTGCAACACCAAAGGTTGATTTGAAATATCAGTTGCGCTAGATTGGGATGTGGAAGATATGATCGCTTGAAAACAGGAATGTAGATATGAGACGTTAGGTGGCTGCATCTTTTCTCGTTCTTGAAGAGTACTATCAACACTATTTCCAGTAAATTCGCTTATGGAAAATTTGGTGCTGTCTACAAGAAATATTCCTGTTGTTTTAAATCCAGAAATAATATTTTCATATGTCATAGATTTTTTCCGAACAGTCCCAAGAACCTCGGAAAATTCTACCTTAGTTAACCGGCCAGAGCCAGAACCCATTTTCTTTTCGCCTAGAGAAATAAGTTCTTTTTCCCAACATGTCTTCACAGGTCCAAATACACACTTATCTAAAGGCTGTAATCTATCTGCCAAATGGCTTGGTAGTTTGATCAAAATTATGTTGTTATTAATGGCTTCTTCTAAGATCCTCACACTCATATGGCTGGCATGGCCATCAAAAATAAGTAAAGCATACTGAGTCAGCGATAGTTTCTCCTCCCGTACCTTTTGGATATGAGGTATAAAAGTACTGGTGAACCAATGGAAGAATTGCGGCTCCTCCATCCATCCATTACTTGAGGTGGTATAACGGGTACCAGGGTATTCTTTTTCTGAAACCCATCTTGGCTGAACTGCGGCTCCCGTGAATACGACTAGCGGAGGTAAAACAGATCCATCGGCTCCAATGCAAGCGAGCACCGTGGTATTTTCCCTACCACTACCTCCTGATACTCTACAAAGTGGCCTACCTTTTTGGTCTATTGCACGAATGCGACTAGGGTCACTAGGAAAACCACTTTCATCTGCGTTATAAATAAAACAGGCTTTGCTAATTAATGTTTGTCTCAGAATTTCGTAAAAATTATAAACTACTTCGGGTTTTCGTGCGTCTTTACGTAATTTTTGTAACAGTTCAGGCTTTTTAACTGAAAGGGCGGGATGCATTTTCAGAAAATCATAATACCAATCGTCTCCGGGTCTATTGTTTTTAAAAGAAGTTTGTAATTCTTTGCTCTCGACATAAGTTTTGACTAGGTCCTGCAGCTCATTTTTACCGCAGGGATAACCGTATTCCGCTCGAGCAAGGATACATTTCTCTATAGTATTCTCAACTTCTGCTGATAGGACAATGGGGGTTCTTCTTTTTCCAGTAAGTCTTTGACAGATAACAGATTTGGGAACACCATAGAACTCTTGAGCTGCTCTATAGGTTTTATTTTTGTTTGCGACATCCTCGACAGCTCTTCTAATATCTTCAGATGTATATGAAGGCCCAGCAGATTTTTTTACACAGTTTCTAGGCATCTGAAAACGAAATTAGGTACTTTAAATATTGTTGTAAGTTATTTGTGTAACTTTAGCATAAAAATAAAGATGTTTACATTTTCCCTAGCAAATTCAAATCAGGGGTAAATGTAAACATCTTTTTTTTGTTAAAAACTAGGCGTTAATGACGGAAAAAAGAGTATAATTATAAAAATATATGTTTAAGAAGCCATAATAATCCAAATGCAAAACTACTTACCTTTTAGAAAGCAAACTAAGGCATAATATCTCTAGATATTTCACTTTGTAAACACAACAAAGTGCACCTGCTTCTATGTTTGTAACTGAAATTTCAGTCGCATGCGGAATTGCTTGGCGGCAATGCCTTCCGGTGAAATTTGGCATCATAGTAGAAGAGGAATATAGCGTCGGGCGCGAAGTTTAAACATGAATATAAAAGCGTTTACTTTTACCCCCATTTACATTTACCCCAGTTGACCCTAAAACTTGTAACAGTTTACTCAATATTACAGCACTACTGGTCGCTGTTGCATTTTCTTTGTCATTTAGTATATTAGTTCGTCATTACAGACTAGGGATTTCGTAACGGGAAAGTCCAGAACGGATCCTAGGTCCAAAACATTAACTCCAGAATTTCGGCGTCCTCAACCTCCACGACCAGTAGAGTCCAGTTCCATGTTCTCAGGAGCTAATTTCCTAAGGACGTTGCTGCGGCTTCCTCGACGCCTCCACTATCACAAACAGCAGACAGATACACAAGACGCTTCCGTGCGAGATTGCAACATATAGTGCAAATTTACTGAAGCGTGAGTGACTGGCCAAGAAGGAATCAGAGTCACTGGAGCACGAGAGCGAACGGAGAAGGAGAAGTCCTTCCGAAGACGTCCTCCTCTATCGTGCATGTATGCTCCGGCACGCGCGTTGCCCGGGAAACGCACGGCGCGAGGTCGATCCCGACGCGCAGCAGGCCTGGACGACCGACGCCACCGTCGTTTGTTCTCGGCGTCCCGACGCTATCACAGCCCCCTGAGAACGCGCGACGCGGATCGGGCGACTAACGCATCACGTGAGGACTCGCTGTTCTTAGCCTTCGAGGGCTATGCAGTCGTGACTAGTCGTGGTGTGACTGGACGTTGGGTGGATAGGCAATGACGTGATGTGAGTATTTGTGATTTCTGGGAAGTGCCTGTAGGCAAATCGTAGGGTTACTTCTTTGGTTGATTAAGCGATCTCGATCCCTATTCAAAGGCAATTGCGATAACTTTTAGAGAGGATCATTCGAACGAGATGTCTCTCTATCTGTCTTGAAGGCTCACTTCTGTTACGAATATCACTAATTGTGGAGTGAGTGGACTTTTGATGTCAAGACAATGATGGGGATAAAACAGTGGTTCTGATATCTCGGTGATGTTTGAAGTAGCCTGCAGGCAATAAGGTTACGTGAGAATGTATATTAAGTGATATAGACCTTACACAATGGTCTTATACGGGGTGTTTTCTAAGTTATCATTTATTTTAACTACTCGTCAAAAGTTGATATACCAGAAATAGTAAAAGATCAAGGATTTAAAAAAATAAGAATGTTATTACACAAATCTTTTGATGTTCTTGACCACTGCCGTGTACATTTTTTTGTTTTTTGCTTGCTACTCTTATCGCTTATCTAAATTTGCCAAACTTCTTCTGTTGTTGTATGGTTTTCAGTGCGAGTCTGGCTCGATCAGTTGTATCAGCGTTTTGACGATGATGATTAATTTTCTTGCACTGGTTAGATGATGTCGATGGTGTTCCTAAGATGCGCCTTTTCTTCTTTAATGACTAGTTTCGTATCCACCTCAACTAAATGACCAGGTCGACGTCGGCATGCACAATATCAAACAGATTGTCCAAGTTCGTAACAAACTCTTGTCTACATTGCTCAAACACTTCTTGTACAGGGTGCCGAATCGAAAACGAAACAGACGCATTCACTGGCAGCTCCGTTTTTCTTTTAGGGAAAACGCTCAGACCCGTCGATTTTGTTTTCGAGGGGGACACAAGTTTGGTAAAAAATCGTGCAGCCCTCTGGGCGGGGGTGACACCAACCCTAAAATGTTAAATGGAAAGGGGGGTCGGGAGATACCTTGTTTTAAAGGTCTTTCAATTCCCTTTATACTGATGTAAAATACATGAGCTTCAGTTCAGTAGTTTTGAAGATTTATTGATTTAAAGCTTAAAGTAGTCTTTAATAGGTACATCAGATTAGTTTGTACTACTTTCAGAAGAAATTTGACTAAAAGAATTTACTTAATAAGTAAATGCTTTTCTTCACTACGCCCACGGTTTGTTTATCATTTTGTTGTTGAAAATAGCTATTACAGCGTTTTTTATGGAAAGATAAGGAAATATCTCGTTCTTATTTTAAATAGGAATTTAGTACATAGGTTGCGATTGATTTGACCAAACTTTGTTGCTAAAATAACTTGTAACGCTTTATTACATAAATTAACCATGGTATATTCCACAGCAGAAGGAGTTGAAATTATCGAAATATTTTTCGGAAATAATCAGTGCGCAGCAGAAATATTTAATGAGCGACAGGAGAACAGTAACGCGCATCGAAAATATGTTTCTAGAACTTGTAGCTAAATTTCGGGAAACTGGGTCAGTCGCCAATAAAAAACGCAACACTGAAAATCCCATAAGGAACGTTTTCGATGCGCCACCCTGTATATATCCTGACTGCAAAAAGAAGACTTTGTCAAGGAAATTTAGTAAGTAGTGTTATTTTAAAGATAAATATATAAGAAATATAAGATACTAATACAGCAGTGTTTTACTTGTCGAATAAGAATTGGGTTTTGAAATATATAATTACTTGGTATCCCTATTAACTTTCAAATTCAAAAGTTGACCGAAATTCGGCACAGGTTGTCGTTCCCCGACCGCAATTATATTTATTTTTTGAGCTGTTGTAGTCAAATGCGTTTGAAAATAGGACTTTCTGGTACACCCCAATGCACATGCATGCGTTACGAATAATCACACGCTACGTCCCGATCAAAATATTCATCCTCTCAGTGAGTTTATCAACTTGCAACTAAGGCATATACAAGACAGCCATTCTAACTATCTGGCAAGACATAAACGCCCAAGGCTAACTCTTCAATAACACTGGACAACAAATTTCTGTTTTTTAATTGTATCTTGTGGGAAAAGTGCACTTCTTTGTTAATTTTGGGACGCTGAATCCAAAAATGACAATGAAATAAAAAAATTAGTTGCGGTTTAGAAAAAAAACTTTTAATTTTTAAGGATATATTAAAAAAAGTAACAAGATTCATATACTTATAAGAATCACTATATGCGCTGTCTTTTTGCTGTTCTTTTATGGATCGTTTCTGGAGCATCTCTACCAAGAGTCCAACAGTAGTCTGCAAGCATGGAAGGATTCCACTTTCACTGGTACCTTTTTTTTTATTGTTGAAATATCCTGATGAAAACGTTCGCCGTGCTCATCACTTACGGCTCCGCAATTGTCAGGAAAAAAGTCCAGGTGTGAGTGTAGGAAATGTATCTTAAGAGACATATTACAGCCCATCTTTTGATACGATGACAGCATATTTTTGACAAGGGTTTTATAGTTGTCGGCTTTTCTATTTCCCAAGAAATTAGTGACCACCAGACGGAAATCATTCCAAGCAGTTTTTTCAATACCTGTTAAAGTATTTTCAAACTGTGTATCTTTCAAAATATTTCGAATCTATGGCCCAACAAAAATACCTTCTTTAACCTTTGCCTCACTTAGTCTTGGAAATTTCTGACGCAGGTATTGAAAAGCTGACCCATCTCTATCTAATGCCTTGACAAAGTTTTTCATTAGGCCCAACTTGATATGCAGTGGTGGTAATAAAATTTTTTTCGAATCTACTAATGGAATATGCTGTAAATTTTATTGACCTGGCTCTAGGAATTGACGAACAGGCCAGTTTTGTCTGGTGTAATGAAGTGCCTTTGCCCGACTGACCCATTCACACAAAAAACAGCAAAACTTTGTGTAGCCTAGCTGCAGCCCAAGTAAAAGTGCAACAACTTTCAAATCGCCACAAATATGCCATTGGTACTCATCGTATTTTATGCATGTCAATAGGTACTTCTTATTGTCATATGATTCTTTCATGTGAACTGCATACCCTACAGGAAGAGATGGTAAAATATTTCCAATATGCAATAACACTGCCTTTAAACTCAATGTTGAACTGTCTATAAACAATCTCCATTCTTCTGGGTTATAGTTTATATTTAAAGCCGCCAGTAAGCCGTTAATGTTACTGCAGAAAACCAAGTTATTCTCCATATTGAAAAATGGTTCTAAGTCTTTGTGGCGTTTACGAAAAACACATACCGAAACATCGTCTTCTAACAAGTTCCACTGCTGCAGTCTTGATCCAAGTAACTCTGCCTTACATTTTGGAAGTTCTCAATCTCTTACAAGATCATTTAATTCTGACTGTGTTATTTTGTGCGGTTGGTGGCATGACGTGCTCGGTATAAAATCAGGAGCTCTTGACGTTGATGGCATATCTTCTTCCTGACGAATCACTCGATCGCCATGATCTGATTCGTTTTCTGATTCGCAAGTGTAGGTTTCTGGGGGTTTTGGAATAGGATTTTCGTCACTGTGAGGCACAGGTCTCATCGCAGATGGTATGTTTGGGTAGTTAATAACCGATTTTTTTCTTGGACATACCTGTGGATTGTCCAACACAAGGTACCATGCAAAAGTAACAATCATTAATATGATTTGTAGGCTCTCTCCAAACCATTGGGACAGCAAAGCGCATAGACCGTTTTTGCCATTTAACCAGCTCCTCAGACTTGAAGCACATGTATTACAGCAGATGTGGTGTGCCCACTGTTTGTCTTGATCACCTAGTTTACAACCGAAATAAAGCTGATATGCCTTTGTTATTAGTGGAGTAATAGACCGTCTCTGAGACGCAAAAGTCACGTCACCACACACGTAACAAAACGGATCTGGATTGTTTACACACTTTCGAGACATCTTGCATGAACGCTGTCAGCCAACTGAGGAAAAAATGGCTAATATAAAACAATATAATGTACACGTATCTATAACGTAACACAATCATGCCGATTATATCATCTTTCCTTGCCGAATGTAAAAATGTAGCACGTGCATTCTTGTGAATTACAGTGTATTAACACTGTCATAGCAGGAACACATATAATTACCGTATCTCTAAAACTTGAACTAATATTGAAAAAATAAGTTTCATTCCGGTTTTAGCACATTAAAAGTAGTAATATTTTGTTGATTTTATTTAGGATATTTTTTTGTTGTTGATCAGTGTAATCAATGCAATTTTATTAATATATGTGTGATGATGTTAGGTATATAATATGATTTGGAAAAATCAGTTAAAGACCCTGCTCGGTTTGCATAGATGTCAGTTCAGGTCAAATCAAGACCGAGTTTTTTTGGACTTCACCCGCCGGGGAATAGAAAACCGTTTAGTCAATCGTGCTTGGCGACGCCTATCCCTTCCAAATCGTTGTGTTTTGGATGTAACATCTGAAACCTATCCTGTGGCTTACATGTCGATAGCCTCCATGCTTCTCTGGCCAATAAAACCACATGTATTAACAGATCTGATATAATGCAATAAACGTTTAAATCGAAAAGTGGAATATTTACTACAGTACAGAAGATCTGTCAATACATGTGGTTCTATTGGCCAGTCAAGCCTGGAGGAAAATCGTTTTCGTTCTCTAACGTTGACTCCATTTATCTCATTATTGCCATCGACTTAAAAGCAGGCCGTGCTATCGCCCACGCAACGGTGCGATAATTCATTCTGAGCGTGCTCACAACTTGGCAAAACAAAAATCAGATTTTCGCTGAAAGGTGTAGAGAAGGGGAAGAGCGCCGATAATTGACGCTTTACCCAGGAAACTGCCAAAAGTTATATACATCTTATGCGAGGTGTTTCCCGCTCTGGAAATCTTATTTCTTAGAGTTTCATCTAAAAAATCGTTATCGAATTCATGATTGCATTTATAAAAAAACACAAGTCAGCTGTTTCTTCTTTTTAACATGCTCTTTTTAGACACCGAAGCTGCCGCGCAGGGAAAAGCCTAAATGCGAGGGCATCGCA